TGGGAGCCCCAAGCCTATGTAATAGTATATACTCTTAGAAGATAGTTTAGCATCACCCTACTGGTGAGTTGCATGGAGGAAAGACTGATGAATCAGGCAACTTCTATACCTTTTATTACATACATAATGAGTTGCATCGACATCTTTGCGGGTTATTGAGTGCCCCTTTGCCATGTCACCAATCAACAAACGCTGAGGGAGGAGTAAACCAACTGATGTAAGCAACCACAATAAAATACACCACCCAAGCTACTATCCAACACCCGAGAAAGCGGAACAATGCTAGGCAGTGAACAAGCAACTCCAATTTAATAACCCAGCCACAGCTTATATAAGTTGCTTATTTACCAACAGTAAGGGCATACTCCCAGCTGAAATAAGCTAAACCAATGCTCATAAGGTTAGCCAAACTGAAAGAATCCTACATGGAATTTTTGCAAAAATAACTGCAGAGGTGTTAAACCTTTGGCGTGTATTGTACTTTGGTCCTCAACTTTAAAAATGACCATTTACGTCTTCGACCTTTCATTTTTATAACAGTTGATCCTTTACCATTTTACTTATTTAATTGACAAGTCAAAATGTTGTTAAAAACCTCAAAACAAGATTTGATCAGTTGAAGAAAAAACAATCAAAAGGAAAAGAAACCGAGCTTTGCATTTACTTAAAGGAGAATATGCATGAATCCAGAAGAAACGCATAAAAAGAACTGGTATTGAAAATCATAATGCTTTATTCACCATAAAGAAGTACAAGTGTTCTACTGCAGAATTACCACAACCTATATTAGAGTCTGCACAATACTAGTCAAACTATTAGATGAATAATTGGTTTTCCCTTTCTTTTATTACCAGCCTTTACAAAAGCTTCAAACCAAGTGGAACTGAAAATTGTCCTGCATTGCAAGGAAATCCAACAAACTTTAGCAGTAATGAACCAGCGCCTTCAAATGTAATGAGTTCCAGTTAATTGTAAATAAATTGCAGAGTTATTCTTCAAGAACTTTTAAATAGTCGACTACCTGAAAACATCATCAATTGTCTTCATACCATGCCTCGAAATAACTAGCAGGAATTTCTGAGGGTGGACACAACGATGCTACGCATTTGAACTGTCCCAAGTAAACAATAGAGTGTATATTAGATTGTTGCTAGGGAATATAAAATTCCAGTTAAAGCAGGTATTTATGGCTGCATCATTGTAGTGCGATATTGCAGAATTAGTGCTAAAAGGAAATATGAGATACCTTGTGGCCCATATATTTCTCTCTTACAGCACGTGCACTCTTTCCCATTCTTAGTTGCAAATTATGAAGTGTGAGCACACACTCCTTCAATTCAGATGGTTTTATACCTGTATATTTTTGCAAGGCCAAGTTCTGCGAAAAGAGTTCAATTCAAAAAACATTGAGAATCAGTGAAAGAGAAACTTGGCATCCGATGGGGTTTTCCTTTCACTGTGCTACTATCGCTGTGTACAGAAAAAAGGGAAGCGGTCTTACCCATGGATGAAATTTTGGCTTGATTATCAACCTTGAAAGAAAGATGACTGAAGCAGCAATGTTTGATGGAATGAACCGGACACAATAATAATCCAGTAAACTTAGTTCAGCAATATAACAACACAGGAAGTCAAATTGCATTCTCGAGAACTGGATGAGACAATATCACATGGTTAATGCCGAGTAAAACTTAATTCATAATAATGTTATAGAGTGTCAGAGATTCAGCCCACCAGAGGTTTTTCTTGAGCGGCCTTGATGAAAGTTCTACAAAATCAACATAAGAGCATGTCATTAGCAACGAGAAGATAAGTATGTTACGAATTGATATGGAAAAAAAATGTGAAATAAAATAGCAGAAAAAATATATTATAAAGAGATTTAAACCTGAGAAAGGTTTTTGTTGTGGGATCACCCATCTCAAAGTTTAAAAACTTTAGCACATCTCTTTCCATGTTTACAACCTGTATTTCAGCAAAAGAAAGATTTACAACCGATGAAATATGCTTTCAACCCAAGGCAAACAGCCATGAAGAGACACAACTCACCTCTTCTTTTGAGTACGAGTTGTCTGTCATGTAGCAAAATTCTTCAACATGAGGTGGACTGATTTCTTCATATTTTCTGCAGTTTTTAGTGACTGTGAGAAGGAAATTATGGAAATACACAAATGGTGTGTTTGGTAGGAATGATATAGATAGTATTGGACAATACTAAGAAAAATACTGAAGCTAAAAGTTTGTTTTTTATATTGTCCTTTCAAATACTGTCCAATCAAATACTATGTACAAAACATGAACAAAATGAATAAGGGGATTGTAAGCATACGCTGCAACAAGCATGCAAGATACACCAAGAAGCTGAAGCTTATTCCTACGTAAGTCATGAGCTGACAGATATTTATCAATATAATTTATAGTGAGATAAAGGGTGTCCGAAAGAAGTTTGAATTCCTCTGCAACCTCAACCAACCAATCAACCAGAATCTCTCGCATAGCTGGTGTTATATCCTTCTGAACCTTCTCCATGTAATTACACGAAGGTCTTCTCTTTGCCTCTACCTAATATTACAAACCTTTATCAGACAACTGTCATACATTAAATCATTTGCAACCGCAAACTAGACCACATGCATATTATAGTACTTGTTGACCAGCTTCAATTTTCTAGATTAACCAAGGGAATGCACAACAAGGCTACGTTTGGCTCACACGATTACCCTGTATAATAAATTTGCATAAAATTAGAGGTAGTATTACGTAGAGAGTATTCGGGTGGATTAAAATGGATAGTATCACAAGTTTTTCATTCAAAAGAATACCATTTGCACTATCTTTCTTATCCAGCCTAAACCACCTCCTCACTTTGTATAATGTTATTCAATTAGCTTAAGAAAGATAGTGCAAAAGGCATTCTTTAAAACGGAAAACTAAAAAAATACTATACGCCTTTATCCAACCTAATACTATCGAAATAGTTTATCTACTCTAATTTTAGACTTTAGTTCCTCGTACAGTTTTACGAAATAAACCTATATCAGAATCATTGCGTGACATCAATACCTCTGATAAAAGGATTATAACAACCCACTACTGCTAGGCAGTAATGATTGCAAAACAAAAAATTAAACACGAAAATAAATATTAAGATAAAATTTTGAATTGGAATTAGAGCCTACAAGAAACACACGTGAACACTCACAAACTCCTGACATCAGAAACCAGCATATGAAAAGAAGTAAAGCAATCACGGACTTCTAAAACAGATAAATAAGCTTAATCAGCAGGAATATCACAACAGTGGAAGCTAATGCATGTCATATTATATCCGGAGGGCACCAAAAATTACCTCCAGGGAGTGAAGATGCCGATACATAATATGAGCGAGTCCAATTTTTTGCGATTCATCAGTTTCAGGGATAACATGGAAATCAACATTCACATCAATAGAAGTATTCACTGTTTCATCAACCAACTCCCCGACCTTCTCTTGGGGTTCAGGCACGAATATGGGTTTCCGGGATTTGCCCGAACCAGATTTTATTGTCAACCCGGTCGCGTTGGACGAAGTGTTAGTGAGCTCACCCAGCACAACCCGCTTCTTTGACATGGAAATCCCTTCCACGGATTCATTGAGTCTTTTCTTGGATGCCCTTCTTCCGGTGGTTATCCGGTTTTCTTTGTCATCCATTAAAGACCTGTTTTACGGTTTCTGGAATTGGGAAAGGGTTTTAGCAGGTGAAGAAATTACTTCTCTTGTCAGTGTGTACGTACTTGAGAGAGCAAATTGTTGAGAGATGAAATGAAAGATGCATATATCTTCTTTGGTCAGGATTGGGGGGGTTGGGTATGCCGCCATTTTTACAATTTCAAAACCTTGATTTACCGCCAGAGAAAATGAAAATTCTGCTTTTCACTGTTTGGTTCCAACTAATAAAAATTGGAATAAAATCAACTTTTTGTCTAGGACGGATTAAAATTCAATTAAAATTGAAAATATAGCCGTTATTGGGTCCCACTCGTCTAATAAAAGTCAACTCCAACGGCTATATTTTCAATTTTAATCCCTCACAAACAAGCTCTTAAAGTTAACAAATAATTTTAGTAGCATATTTATTGAATTCACAACTTTTACTTTAACCACACTTTTCATAACTTTAATCAAAATCTTCTAAAAAAATTAATTTTTATCTAAATCAAAAAGGGCCTAGCAAATTACGGTGACAAAGCTCTACAAAGAGACAGGGATGGCAAAATTCTCCAGAATCCTTGTTCGAGTTCTTTGAAATCCTTTCGAAAATATTTTTATGTTTTTCAATTTATATAGTATTTAAAAAATAATATTAGATAATTAACTAATAAAACTAGATGGTAATGAATTTTTTGAATTTAATTCGTCCCCGCTGTGGCTCCCAAAAGTACCCCAACCGAGCAGGAATGGTAATGGCAGACCAATCCACCTCGCCATCGGTTCTTACAAAACATCAACTATGAGTAAAAGTAAACATTTATTTCTCATTTTGCTTTCACTTTTAGATGAGATTTTTTCAAGTGAAAAAATGTTTTTTTTAAGAATACTTACTTAAAAAATAGGAAAAAGTATATGTCCCATGTAGTAAAAAATGATTTCGTGAAAAAAACAAATAGATTTGAAATTATGTTTGTTCTTTACAACAATAATATTTTTAGCTTAAAGAAAGTTTGTTCATTTCCCTCTTTCTACACAAATAATTATATTTCAATTAAATTTATGAATTACACATCAAATTTCTATCTATTTATAAATTAAATCGTTCATAATTCTTCCTATATTTTACTCATGAAATTTTGTTTTCGCAGCTATATTTCCCTAAACTGAAGAAAAGAAAATTATCTTTTACCAAAATTTCTCTCAGTGTAAGATTCAGATTGATCAAGCAGTTTCCATACTTCGAGTGTGTTTGGTAGAGATTTTTGGGGGAAGAATTGATTTTTGAATATTGATATGATGGGAAATGTGTGGTTGAAAAAGAAGAAAAAAGTATTGATACGATGGAAAATATTATTTTATTGAAGAATGTGTTGTTGAAAATGAGAATTGATTTATTGTAGAAAATGAGAATTTGTACCAAACATGTCCTTTACCCACCCTATCTATAACTATAAGCGAAGTTTCTTGTAATTGCATTAAAACCACGACCGAATCTCGACTAATGTTAGCGTATCCAAATATGGACAAATTAGTCCTTAAATGTCTAAAAACAAGCATCCATCAGTTTCCAAATAAACGTACAAACAATTTGAAGATAACCTCAAACTCAACAGGCGTCTTAATAGCTCCAATGGTTCAACCTGTATATTTCAGAATGCAAATAAAAGTTTCACGTGACTCGTTCTCCAGGGATTGCTAAATCCAGCAGAATAACGGCCAGATTCTGCATTTCGATTTTTTGGCCCCAGTAGAAAACAAGTTTAGTCGACTAGGACCAAATGTAAATAGACATCCCCAAATCAATATTCAGCAATGGCTTGCTATAGTCCAGTACCCTAATTTCTTCTCAAATTAGTTATGCAGTAGATTATCAATAAGCTTCTCGCAAATGCATCAAATTTTACATCATCACTCAACAGATTCACTGTTTCCTGTCTTTAGTCTACTACTTCTACGAACCTCTGAAGATGGGGAAGCAACTAACTTATTCTGCTCCTGGATTTGAGTATCTGGTGATTGATCTGTATTACTTTCCCTCCTCCTCGATTTTGGCATTCCAGACTTGTATCCACTGGCAGCCTCAGTCACCAAGTTTAAAACCCCGCTCGAAGAGTTATCCTTGGTGACACTTTCTGATTCCAGTTCAGGTCGTTTCTCATTGTCTTGATTCAAGGAAGTTCCTTGTTTCGAATCAGTTTCAGTTTTCCTCAATTCCATTTGTGGTCTATGGTTAAAGCTCCAACGGGTATTCTCAAACCATTTGGTAACCTGTATGGCGACGTACAATGAAATATAAATATTTCAAATTGCAATAAGAGGAACAGTAGGGCAAGATAAATGTATGCACCTGCTGGATTGTGAGCTCTAATTCCTTTGCCAAATTCTCTTTCACAGCTCGTTCAGGGTATTGATTTTGTCTGAAAGATTCAAGTAGTCTCTACACCAACACAGTAACCATCATCAGATATTCAAACGAAGGAATGTTGGAAAGCTATAACATTGCCTATGGAGGACCAAAATAATGTTATACATGTAATAACGCATTCTAAATTGTTATAAGAGTGCAGCTTTAGAAGATGATGCACTCACATTCGATATATAATTTCAAAGAATACATGTAAAACATGCACACGCACACAACTGCACTCACATTCGATATATAATTTCAAAGAATACACGCAAACATACACCAGTGGGAACAAAATCCTTGCATGCAGATTGAGTGGTCATATTTTGTGAACCACCTACAAAGAAACGGTCATAGAAGATAATTACCAATAGGATTCTAAAGCTATTAAGGAAATGTATATTACTAGTACCTGTGTTACAGCTTCTCCAAGCCTTTTAGGTGCTGATCTTTTAACATTTGCAACCACAGAACCTGTTTCAGCAGGTGCATTGATTGTGCCCCTATCAATTACATTTTTGTTAGTTCTTTTAGACCCATGCTCACTCTCTGTCGGGTTTTCATCATTGGCATCCATTTCATTTTGAGCTAATGGAGTTTTGTCTGGAGACACCTTGTCTGCTTTTTCACAGTTAATCTTCCTTCTCTTTTGAGAAGGAATATCTTCAAAATCTTCATCACTTGATTCAGAAGAAGAATTTCCATATGTTTCCTTTAAAAGATACAACGTCACAAACATAAGCAAACCAAGGGCGAGAGAGAGAGAGAGAGAGTAACAAACTGCTGTACTAGAGAAACAGCGTCAAGAAAGAAAACATGCAGCAAGAAACAAAGCAAAAATAAGAGCTGGGAAGAGAGACATGTTAAGCTAAATAATGTTTGAATATCCAAATCAAAATTAATACTGATTGATGAGAGTGAAACTGATGCAAAAAACCTCGCAATTATAATCCTCAATGATAACCAACTCCTTCACTGAAATTTTGAGAACCACTTGCAACTTTTTTTGTGTGATTAACAAACCATATGTTTTCATAATTTCAGCTTCAAATTGATTGCATTTAGCATTTACCTTACAAAAAATGAAGGTACCTCACCTCTATTGCGGTGATCATGGCCACAGTTGGTCAAAAAAGTGGCGCCTATCAAGTACATACATCAAAATTAAGAAGACTTTGAATTCCCTATTAAGCCTGGTACACATGAAACATTCAACTCCAGACAAAAGACCTTGTGAAGCAAACACAAAATAAACAGCTGTCAATCTGCTCCACCTATTGACTGTGTATGTACCAGCATTCAGTACAGCATGAATTACGAATGTGATGAATCTAACATTTAGTTTGAACATAAAGATCTTCAAAATATGTAAAATGGACCAAAACTCTAATTAGCGATGTAGATGTTTAGTTTGAACATAAAGATCTTCAAAATATGTAAAATGGACGAAAACTCTAATTAGCGATGTAGATGGATTTAGTGAAAGTTGTGCTTTCTTGTGGACTGGATGGTCTTATGAGATTCCAACTTTAGATGTCACACAGAAAAATCAAGATTGCCAAGACAAATCCAGATGCATGGTGAAACACCTTTAACATGATAAAAATATTACAATGGATAAATCAAACAAAAATATAGTGTGAAAATGTAAAAGAAACTCACATCATTCAATTTTTTATAGTCCAACCGTTCTACGTGTCTTTTGCCAGACACAGGTGCATCACTGGTCTCCAAAAGGTACGAGAGCTCGCCTCTTAGTGATTGACTCTTCACTTTACCTGCTTTAGATTTTTCTTCATCAGCACCTAAAACTGAAGAGATTTCAGGTGCAGCGGTGTCATCAAGAAGAGCACCAAGATCCTCTGAGTCGGATGTGAAATCAGAACTTGAACTATCCTGCTTCAACTCCTCATCTTGAACTGGAGCAGCGGGATCAAAATCATCATCTTCTGAATCATCAGAAGGAAGTCCCAAATACTGTTTTGTATTAGGAGAAGCCGCCAAATCATCAGATGCCAATAAGTAATCAGATTCGTCAGAACTTGATTGGTCTCCAGATTCGTCATTACTTAATTCATCTCCTGAAACCTTCAAGACTGCATCCGGCTTATCAGGGTCATAATCATCATCCTCAGAATCATCCGACGAAGACCCAGAACCATCATCCAGCTTCTTCACTGATGCAGATGCAGCAGCCTCGGGAAAGATCTTCTGTAAACGAGAGGAGGGCATAATGAGCAGCTAAGTATCAACATTTAACCACTATCCATCCAAAAGAGTTAAGACTAGACCTCCCAACTCTCAATGACAGAAAGATTTGTTCCTTGGAAATCATTAAGATAACCAATGCAATCAACTTTACAATCACATCCAGGGCATAGCCAGCTTTCATCATCTGGAGGAACTGTGTATACGCACAAAAAGGGAATAATATTAGACCAAGAGATAAAAGTAAGAAGACATTCAGGACATGAGAAATAAAAGCAGATTATGTCAACTGAAAGTATGGAATAAGTATGGAATTACTGTCTTGTTTTAGCAGAGGTGGTTCCAAACAAAACTGGTGAAACCCACGTTCACATGCACCATCACAAAGAATAATATCATTATCAGCTGCTATATCCTTAGAGCCACATTTCGAGCAGAAAATCTGCAATAGAAAAAGATGCTTAAACATTCCCTAATCAATTCTGAATTATACACACAAAACTAAGTCGTTTTGCGTGCAATACTTGCAAGCAGTGTTCTAAAAGGCAAAGACAGAGAGTAATACTGTACGAGGAAGAAGAAAGCTCCTACGAATGGGGCTCACCAGTTTAAGATTTAATAATTTGTCATTTTTCAGTCAACCACGATTCTTTAACAGCTATGATTCGTATATCATTACTTAATTATGCAAAAAAATTTACGTAATATATAATTCAAGCCAAATGCAGCATCTGAAAGGTTACTGGAATAAATAATCAAGCAACTCAGTATAAAATAAAGCTTCCAAAAAAAAACAAAAAAATTGTCCAGTTCACCGAAGCAGAAGCAAGAATCTAAACAAATGGAGAAATACCTGATGATTTAGCAATGCATGGTATGACAAATAATGTAATTGGTCGTAGAAGAGAGAATGAATATAAAAACTGAAAGGATTATATTGATGGCAAAATAATATTAGAATCCGTATTTGGGAAAAAGGATAACAAAAAAGAGCAACCAATTTCATAAAAAGACCAAAAAAAAAAAAAAGCAATGCAAGATAGCTACAAAGAGAAGTCTTTTTTTCCCGTCCTAACTCTAGGTGTCAAAATGCCTTTTAAAACATTGATCAAGAGCAACAGAACTGATGGATCCAGGCATCGGTGCAACTCCACATGCTAAATTCATGTGCCACACGTGGAGTGCAAGACTGAATTAAATGAAGGGTGCCATCCAAACATTTAATATAATGCATGTGATATAGAGTAGAAGATAATACAGCCACCGAACAAAAGGTAACTCCATACATCTTCACTATCGATCTCCCCTGCAGAGTCAAACAAAGATGCTGGAAGCTTTCCCACAGCAAGTGACAGATCAAGGCGTTGAAATAAATCTCTTATTCTCAATTTGTAATCTAAGATATGAGATTTTGCACGCTGAAGCTCTTTCTCTGGCTTTAATTTTTCCAAGCTGCAAGAAGTAAAATGATAATAAACCATGCTGATTAAGAAAAACCAATATAAATCAGCCAAATGCTTAAATACCGTACAAAATTGGTTAAAAGCGAGAATAAATTGATTAAGCACCGAACATTATGATTTAATTACCATTAACTAAGGGTGCTTAGCTTTTATATTCACGCCATCTATGCTCAAATTACAAGATCATTGCATTTAAGACGACCTGAAAGGATGTGTGTGCAACAACGATGAAAACCAGGACAAGACGGTTAGTTTTCTCTTGCTTTCCAAAACATGCACTAACCTAATTAAGAGGACTACGACAAGCTCCATCAATGTTCTTCAGCCAAATTAAAACTGTCCAAATTGAGTTGAAAATAATGTGAACTGTGAAATTAAATTATGCATTTTGATATCATATAAACTTGAACTGCCGGCTCATATAAGGCAGTCATTTTGAAGCTATACCCAGAAATATCCATCATTGGAAGAAAAGGAAACAACATTCAAAACTAGTAACTGAAGGGAAAAAAAAGATGTTCAATAATTGCAGCAGAGTATATACATGGTGAAAATGCATTTGAAAAAAGTAATCCCATCCCATCCCATCCCATAACAGAAGCGCAGACCAGCGTTTTGAAATTTCCCCCATCTCCAAATAAGTAGAAGATATTAAGTTCAAAAATCATGAGATAAACATTCCTGCCTGACAAGATTTGCATATTTCTAACGTTTTCCTTATTTTTCTTAAATAAATTGACACTGTTATAGATTACCACATATTATTTCAATCTACCACTTAAACAACAGCATCGATATGCCTGAAAAATAAAAAACAGAAATATTACAGCAAGTATGCACAGATTTTTGCAGACCATACAAACCTTTGTCTTTTCCATCCTTCTGCAGAATATGCGTCAATCAAGTTTTGCTCATATCTTATCCGGTGCAATAGATATCTAAGATGGGTCCTTGTTCTAGAGAACTCATTTGCTGGACCTTTATTCATCTCCTTCTTTTTTCTCCCCCTCCTTTTCTTTTCTCCATTAGCATTGTCTTCCACCGCAGTGTTTTTAGGATCAGAAGCTTTAGGTTTCTCTTGTGATTTTGAACGCAGAAACCACTTATTATTCGCCGAACTCTTTGACGTTCTCAACTGAACAGGAGTTCCTTCTTCTTCAGCCTTCAAGAGACTACAATCATTAATTACATCTTTCTCCATTGCTCCTGCTTGTCCAGAAAGAGTATTCACAGAGGCGCGGCCACATGGTGTCCCAAAATACCCAAGAGCAAGAACAACATTTATTGCCTTATTGCCAGAAGGTCCTTCCAAGTTTTCAACGACAGACGACGTCGTATTTTCTAATAGAAGTCCTTTTTGCTCCGTGCTGAAATTCTGGGTAACATCTCCGGGAGTTGGCCCCACTTCTTTAAATCCAGTAGTTGTCTCTTCCATTAAATCTATTTTATTTTTAATGTTCTCAGCTCCAACCACCTCTTTCTGCTCTATTAGCTCAGTAACCACTGTCCCACATTCCAATTTACAGTCCTTCGGTGTCTGGGGTTCAATACAAGAATTCTGGTTCAGAACTTCTGAAATTTCCAATCTTTCTAGCCCGTTACACTGGGATTCTTGAGTCGGAAGCTCTTTCGATCCCTTTTGTGCATTTTCAACCTTCTGATATTTCTGTCCCAATAAGTCATAGCCAACGCTAGTAAAATGAAGCTCTTCCCTTCCTTCACCTATAGGTTGTTTAGGGCTTGCAGCTCCTTCAGTCTCGCACTTAGAATTCTGGTCCAGAACTTCGGAAATTTTCAGTTCAGATTCTTGAATCCCTACTTCTGACGATCCCTTTGGCACATTGTCAACCTCGTGACAATTCTGACCCAATAAGTCGGTAAAATGAAGCTCTTCCCTCCCTTCAACCGCAATTTGCTTAGGGCTTGCGGCTGCTTTAGTTTCACAATTCTCTTGTTGTACAGGTACATCCATATTCACCACCCCAGACAAACAAACAATAAAAAGACCAACTCCAAAAACAAAATTCCCCCCAGTATCACTTACTAAACTAAAATCCTCAACTGCACTAAATCTTCAACCAGAAACCACAATTTCCATTTCAATTCGCCCTCATTGACCTGGAATTCTCTCACACCGAAAAAAAAATGATATTACACTTCTTTTCATGCAAATTTTCAGCTATTAATTGTTAAAAATAAAAATTTAGAAACAAAGATCGAACATATCAATTTCCATTGTTACAACATTATTCAGCAAAGTAAAGCAAAATATAAGTGAGTATGGGCACCCATATATCTATGTACCTGTTGTCTCAGATCACGTGTAGAAGCCGGTAGAAAGGTAGGGTTTTTTTCAATTTACTTTAATTATTTTACTCAGAGCTGAAATTAAACAAGCGCAAAGGAAAGTGAATGGGTAAGGTTATTTGTGATATCGAGGATTCTCCTCATCGCGAATAAAATGTGAGAGGCTCTCTCGATTTAGTGTTTGTGTTTTGTGTTTGAACCCTCTAATCAGGCGGTGCTCAACGTGCAACTGTACAAGCGTTGGCAACAGGGGGGAGAGGCGCTTTTGTATCCCGAACCTCTATTGTGCGCTGGGTGTGCAAGAAAAGGTGATGATTCCAGAGTTTGATGGGCGTGGAAATATTGGTCTGAATCATTGGACAAGATCATTTGAAATGTAGCCTGCTTCTCGGAATGGTCCATTATCCCATAGAATGCATAAAGGCCCAAAGGAGTACATGTGATCCGGCCCATGACCCGAGGGCACATGGCCTGCCCGCAGTAGCCTCAACCCCACCACCAGTCCACCTGTTTGATTCAATTCTAACGTCCACATAGATAATCAGATAACGTCCACCTGTAGTAGTGCAGTAAGGGCCCATCGGGAAAGAGAAGGAGAAGGTAGTGGTTGTTAATGGCCACCTTCGCCTCCTTTCTCTCATGTTCTCCTCGCCCTTCCATACGACGTTGTAGCGGGATTTCACTTGCTCGGCCTTTCTCTGTTAATTATCCCACTAGGTATTTTATCAAATCTCCAAGTTTAAGAACCCTAGTTTTAGCTTCTTCTTCCGTTGGGGAATTTAATGCTGGCAATGGGAATTCGCGGTCGAAGGTGAGGGTTATGTTTGAATTATATTTTCTGTTTATTGGTAGTTTTGATTTTATCTGTTTAGTTTGTTTAATCTTGCTGGTTTGGGGAGTTCTTAAAATAGCTAACTTTGGTTGGGAATTAGACTAGAGAAGGAACACAATGAAAATTCTTTGATTGTCAACAAAAAATTAACTCATCTTGGCTTAGTAAAATGTCGGAAATTAAATTTCAAATGGAAGTTGCAATGGCCAGTCGACTTTCTTGGAGCGGAATGAAAGCTACATAGAATATATAATGGCTAGCTTATTAGATTTGCTGCAAATGACTGGGAGAGAGTTGGGATTAAAATTTTGCGAATAATATAAATTGTAAAGGAAGGCAAAGAGGTAGTACGTCTGCCGGGAACTGATAATGCAATATTAATACCATGACATAATATTATATTTTCCAGAAATCGGTTCTCTCAAATTTGATACATGAGATTGAGCCTTTGGATGTGAGCCTTATTCAGAAAGACGTTCCACCTACAACTATAGATGCCATGAAAAGGACCATTTCGGGAATGTTGGGCTTGCTTCCGTCTGACCAATTTCAGGTGATGATTGATGCGTTATGGGAACCACTATCCAAGCTGTTGATTTCTTCAATGATGACCGGGTAGGTTCACTTTTTGTGACACATACTACACAATTTTGTTTGGCACGAAAAAAATAAAGATAATGAAAAACGTAATGAAAATAAGTAAATATTGTTGGAAGTGAGTGCTAACAATTTAGTCTGATATAATAATTAGCTTTATCCTATGGTGTTGTTGGTTTGTTTATAATTTGTGAATACCCACTCAAAAGCAATAGGTTTGTTGCCGAGTTTGATTCGTACTAATATAATAGAAGTAAATAAATTATAGAATAGATTGTGTAATCTTGTGAATCAGGGATCATTCTCTCAGATATTTAGTTCAGAAAGCTACCTAATCTTTAACTTAGTGACTTAAACACTAATTTGTCTACTGATGTGGATTTATGTGCTTAAGACAGCTCAAAGGTACTTGCAATGGAGATTGTAAGACAAACATGTAGGCTCTTGTTTAAAGAATAAGTTCACTGGATGTGGTATCACTTTAAAATTCGTAAATTGATCTTAGAAGTGAATTAATTGATTGTTCTGAGGTTCAGCATTGTTGTTTAGAACCCTTGGGTAGGATATTTTGGATTCTAAATGCCATGACCTTTCATTATTTTTTCAAATCATGACGTAAATTTGTATGGTCATATCAGCCCATGATGGAGCTTGCCTCTGGCGGAGGGTCCCGTGCCTGATGCGTGCTTGAGTCCGAATAAGCTCTCAGCTAGGGTGTCGTATGTATATCTTTTGATGTAGTTCTAGGCTAGATTATACCATGGCATGAAAAAACCCTACTGAGGCCCGCCTCACTGTGAGGCGCAGCTTCTGTGCCTCGAGGCTCAATCTGTGAGGCAAAAAAAAATGAGGCGCACGCCTCTACATCTGAGGCAAAAGAATGAGGCGTGCGCCTCATTTGAAGTATGATTTTTGAAAAGGAATTAAAAAAAGCCCTCCTTAAAAAAGAGAATGGCCCATTTAAAAAGATATTTTGGATCAAACAAAATATTAAAATATCTAGAATAGTAAAAGGCAGCTAGAAATCCTTCTACACGGTAGACAGAAATCTTCCTAGATGGCCAGAACTACACGGCAGTCAGAAATCTTCCCAAAACTAAACGGCAACCAGAAAACTTATCTTCAATCCTTCGCTTAAAAGAGGTCCTCAAGTGCTGCTTCTATTTCTCTTTTCTCCTTTGCTTCTGCCTTCTGCTAGTGACTTACAATTTAAAATTGTTTCATTAGACTTTGCTCGGCTTTTTTCTTGTTCAGTGTATCGACGCCAGATTGCACTTGTTCTGTTTGGCAGATTGCACCAATTTTGTTTGTGCTGAGGCTTACTCATCGCCTCATGACAAAAAAATGCCTCAGTACCCTTTACATTTTTTCAAATTATGGATTATACTAGTTTGTTTTTATTTTTATTCATTGTGGTGGAAGATATATAAGTTGAGTAACCTCGCAAGTTGCAACTGTATTTTTGAAACTGTCAACTTCTTTCGTGTTTAGATTCTCTAACATTTGAGAATACTCTTAGACGAGAAGATCATGTATAAATGATTTTAGTTGTATCTCATACATGTGTATGCGTTCTATATTAGAGAAATTTTATTTGTTATCGAGAGTTGTTAGCATAACTATTATTATAAACATCAAGCTGCTACATTTTACTACTGAGTAACTTCATGTAACATTCTCTCTTGTGTGCGGCATCTCCATTCAGCCTAAATGTTAGTGTATATCACCTTTATTTTTTTTTATTATTACTTGTGCAAGTCATCTGAAAAAATTAATGATTCAATCTCGACTCTTCTTTGTTTCTAAGCTCACTCTCTAGTCCAATATCATGAGCTGTTCAGGCATGACTCTGTAATCATTAGTGAACTATGTTTTGAATTTTCGCTAGTGCGTAATAGATCACTTTATGGTATCCTATTTTATTGCAGGTATACATTGCGGAATGCTGAACATAGGCTTTGCCTTGAGAAAAATCTTGAAATCTATGAAGGACATATTGATAAACAAAAAACTGAAGATTCTAAACTTGAAGGTTTGTTGCTCAATGACGATGTAGTGAGCAAAATTTTCAGACAAGACAACTTGCCATTATCAGAGACAACTGGTGAAATTACATCAAAGATTCCAGATCTTGGGGGAATGTCTCTTGAAGCTCAAGAATATATATTGAGATTACAATCTCATTTATCTTCTGTCAGAAAGGTGTGTACTTCATGGTATCTTGGATTTCTTATTCATCTATGTATTAATTTTTTTTCCAAAATTGGCTTTGGCTTTGCTACGCATTGTCAATATTTTGGTAATTAACCATCTTATCTAAAAACAGTATTTTTATATTCAAATATGGTTTGGGAGTAAACAAATATCACTTGTTCAAGTGTCACCACCAAATAGACTATCTCTTGATCTACTTTAAAATAAAAGAACTAAAATCAATTACCAGTATTCAATTTGTGGCTGAAATATGGAAGCTGCCATTTTGTGGAGCAATATTCCATAAATTGGATGTACTGGGTGTTTTCCACATAAGTTTGATTGTTGTGTGGAGTAGATTACCATCTAACTGAGTTCATATTTTTTGTGGATTGATTAGTTCTTCTTGGTTATCTTATTATCTTAGTGGTAGTCTAGTGGGTTCTCTTTTGAATGTCCGTTTCCTTTTTATTGTTTTGCATTTGTATGCTCGGAGCTGCTCATAGAGGGTTTTATTGTCACGTGTTGATTTTTAATCCTTATTTATTTCTCCAATTTAGACAAATGTTATATGACATTCTATTGTTGTTTATTAATTCTGCCTAATTAAGGAGCTCCGCGAAGTTAAAAGGAAATCTGCAGCTCTTCAGATGCAACACTTTGTGGGGGAAGAACAGAATGACTTGTTAGATTATTTAAGATCTTTGCAACCCGAAAAGGTATGTATATATGTAAAAGTGCTGGTGATCATGTAAGGAGAGTGATCTTTATGGATGATATTGCAATAAACTAATGCATTGAGGATCAAACGAAAGCGATTTTTGCTGTAATTCAGTTTGCAAATCAATTGACATTTTACAGAAAACGTGTTTTCTGTGCTAAATTTCATTTTCAGTTTCTGCAAAATCTCTCATATGGAATAGAGATTATGTTTTCTATAATTGTTCCTGATTAAAATTTCTTTTTTCTTTCATGAGGATCCATTTTGGAATAGGAATTTGAATATCACAACACTGCTGCACATTACATGTTTAGGATTTGTCCAGTATATCTTTGGTGTAGAGCCAAGTGCTATTTTCAACTTCCCAACATAAAAATCTGCAAAGGAATGCTCATGAAGTTGTCCTCACCTCCTATTATAACTAGGATTAATTACACTAAATTCAGTATCTTGCAGAAGGGAGGTGAAAAAAGGTCATATTAAACTGGGGATATCTATCACTTATCTGTAATTTCAATGGGTAGTAATCCTTCCATTTCTTTGATGCATACTTTACTTATGGACTATTTCTACTCTACTTTTGAGAGTATAATCTGCACCACTTTTGGGGTGCCTGTGCACTTCATCTGGCTCACAAGGCATTCATCAATTTCGTAATTTTTCTTTGGGGAGGACAACTAGCTTTAAGTGGCAGTTACGCTTCTATCAACTCTGCTTTACTGTCCATCCTTTTGTTTTCTTCATTCTTGTGATGGATACTATTACTTCAATTGAACAGGTAGCGGAGCTTTCAGAACCGACATCTCCTGAGTTGAAGGATACCATACATTCTGTAGTACATGGTCTCTTGGCCACCCTTTCTCCTAAGATGCGTTCACAAGCACCTGATCTCTCTGACGACCCAGCTATAGGAACCATAATAACTGAAACAGAAGAAGACAGCATCGATCTTGTTGAAAACACTTCCCTCCAATTGCAGCCTCTTATTTGTTTGACACGTGATTATCTGGCGCGCCTACTGTTTTGGTTAGATCACATATCCTCTCTATTTACTTACTTTGTCAAGAGTACGCTTGTCTAGATATTTATCCATTTTATACCAACTTTCTCAAGTCATAAAATGGAATGTTTTGTTTTGCTCTATTTTTCATTTTTTTCTTTGAGGCAATTGGATTGTTCTTTTTCATTTTTTTTTCCTTCAATTTATAGAAATGTTAGGTTATCCCCCTTCTATTGGCTTACAGCAAGGATCATGAAATCTAACAGCGGTAGACTCTCTTTGGCTCCGAATTTTGAACACCTTACAGTCTAAGAGGCCATATTCGTGTGGAATTAGAGACATTAGAATCCCTAGCCATGTTTTTACCTGTTTATCTATATGTTAGAATCGTTGAATGGATTTTACATTTTCTTTGTTTTAATAAGGAACAGGCTTATAAAGTGCATTATTGTATCTCCAGGCTGGGATAATATACTTGATTCTGTCAGTAGACAATATAGTGAACTACCTTTTTTGCAGGAAATAATTCCCTAAAACCTAGATTTTACACTCTACTGAACTTAAGAGAGCATTAAAATTACATTCACGTACCTTCCTGGAAATTAAGTGGACTTCCAAGAATCACTAATTTTTTTCTCCTCTAGACATCGTTTTCTGTATATAATCTCTGCAGATTTTTCTTCATAACCAACCTAATGAGACCTGGTATTAAAGCGCTCCACCACATTCTTTTAGCATTTTGTAATATGCAAACAATTTATTGTAGATTTTATGTTCCGGGATTCACATTTTTCATTTTATTTGGTGAAGGTGCATGTTGCTGGGACACTACCTTAGAGGCCTAGAATATCGGTTGGAGCTGATGGCACTTCTGTCCTTACCTTGTGTGGAAGAGAATGGTAGTACTGAATGAACAAGTTAGTTAACAACAGCCGTAATTTTCTCAGTTACATGTGTATATACATATTTGTCTGTTATCCAAGACAATAACTCTGTTAATTTGCACATGAATTTTTCCCTGTAGCATAATATGCAGAACCAGAACATGCGTTTTGCTTACATTTGTATGGCTGTACAGCTGTGTTGAATGTGTTAGTTAATGATTTGAGCATAGACGCACGGTCTGTCCTGGACATTTTGAACGGCCTAAATAGAAAGAGGTACAAAGTTCGTATTTTCGACGCAAGTTCCCTTTTTCTTCAATTTTTCCCAGTACGGGCAGATGCACACTATGAGGTGGGAAAAAGATCGAATTTTGAGAAAATGAATCCAATTAGAACAAACTTACAATTCTATCTTCAACTTTTCAGATCTTTCTGTAAATACACATAAAAATGGTATGAAATTACCCCTAAAAGACAGGCAAACCATTGCAGGGGAAATTTTCACCCTTCAAATTCAATCCACAGATTCTATATGATATAGAAAAGATAGCCAAATGCTTCCACAGCATGACTCAAAGTAACATTACAACAGATCGCTTATACGTCTATTCAGAGCCTGACGAGTATGAGCTTTGACGGACGCTCTTAGTTTTGCCTTTAGATTTGGACGCATTGAGCGATGATTCACCCTCGTAAACAATAACCTGGGATTTTGCTAACCTCTCCTCAAGTTCCTCAGTACTGAACTCATCTGTTCCACCAAGCTTGTCGAATCCAACCTAATTTGCATTTCAGCTATGATAAAGCTTCACAAGATCAAATGTGAACCCAAAAGATTAATAATCATGCTTAATCTTTTGCACACAACTTACCACATAATCATCCACTTTAGCATTTTTTATGAGGGCAAGGGTAGGAAGAACAACAATTTTGAGCTTCTCAGCTAAGTAAAGACTTTTCTCAGCATTGATTTTCACAAAGCGCGTCTCAATGTGTTGCTTCGCCAATATACTCAGATGCTTGTCCATGACCTGCAATTGAGCTACATTGATTTATTTCTTTCTCGAAAGAAACCTTTATCAAGAAGTAGCGATGAAATTCAATACCTGGAAATTTGCAGGCAAAGCATTATAACAACGTTCTTACTTAAACAGTTAACTTTGAGTGTCTAATGTTGCAAAACATTCAGTTTCTAGTGCAATACTTGGTTCTAAGGGTCTAACATTTTTCCCCATGTTTATTGTTACAACAGTTATATCTCCCAATATCAAATTGATAACAGATCAACTATTTCTCAGAAAACCCAATAAGAACGGGGATTGAAGTAGTTGCACAAAGAGTTAGGAACCTATCAAATAAACAGACTTTGCAAAGTAAACATTGGAGGGAAAAGAAAAGGCCAACTCACAAACAATTAAGCCGAACATACATCAAAATGTAATTCACAAGGATTTGCAACATGAATCATTATGTCCCGTGCCAAGTAAAAATGATTAGTTCTTGTATAACTTTAATTCCATCATCTAATTTCCCATTAACTAGACTATCGAACCATCAATCATCTGAGAAACTAAGCTACAGAGCCTTCAACTCTACTTCTAGACTTCCAGATCAACGCTTTGCACTTTTTACCTCACACTTGATATTAGCAACAAATGCTCTTGTGATCTTCACAAGCAATCAATCATCTGAGAATCTCACCATGACTACGTCAAAAATAAAAGCTCTATTTGGCAACAAATCTTATCGCGACCCTTAATATGAACCCCAACCCACACACCCACCCCAAAAAAAAATTTGTATTCTTACACAATCAGGATTTTTTTTTTTTTTATAAATTGAAAATGATCTCAAGAGTCAAGGAACTACAGTCTTGAATCCCAATTGAATAATTTTTTTCAAGAGAACCTGCTATGGTGTTGGTCTAATCCTACAGAAAATATCATTCAATTATAAAGATCTTTAATAACTGTATATAACCATTTACAGTCTAATCTCAAGTACTATGCATAAACTTAAATAAAACAGTTTCTATGCAAACTCCACCTGATATAGAATCCATTTTGCACTAAAATCTAACAATCAACTAATATCACTTAAGAGAGTGTTTGAGTAGCATGAAAAATATCTCCTAAGAAAGAAAATAATTTTCTTGTTTTGAGGAAAACATAAACATACTCCCCTAAAAGAAAATGTTTTCCTTAACACCCATTTTTTATCTCATTCTCATTTTTCTACAGTACTCATTTCTAACCACACATTTTTCAAATAAAATAATATTACACATAAACTCAAAAATTTTTCTTACTTTTTAACCACACATTCTTTACATCAATGATTATTCAAAAACTCATTCTTCAAAATAATGGGTGTCAAACGGGGGGCATATTTTCAAAAATTGGAAAATATTTTCAACGCAACAAAAACTCCAAAGTAGAAATTTATGTGGAAAACTGACATTGTCCATGGAAAATAAATACATCAAAAACAACCTTACTGAATAGATTATAAGCTAAAAATTAGACATTTTCACTAATTATCACAAATGAGAATCTACAAAAGCAAACATTGTGTAAATAAATAAATGTATTACGCCAATGTAAATGTACCTTGCAAGGCCAATTTTCACGGTAAAAATGGCACACAACGCGTTCACTAGCTTTGACAACAGAGAAAAATTCTTTTTCGTTGGGGATCTCAGAGTAGTCGCCGTGGCCAAGGGCGATCCAGCTTCTACGTTTCTCCGCCATTTTCTTCATCTGTTGCAATCGCCGCTCCCTCAACGCCTCCAAATCGTCAGAATCTAGCCGATCCATAGCCGAGATCTCATCATCTATCTTGTCTTCCACAGCCTTCGCCACAGTCAATAATTGCTTCTCCAATATCTGCATTTTTACAATTATTAATTACAAGTGTACCAAATTTTCTATATACGTAAATCAACATAATTCAATCATACATCAACATTTATTTTACGTTACCTCCTGAACTTTCGAATTATCCATGGTAAATTGCTGGAAACGTAATCGAATGTTTATGCAGCGATTTTGAGAAAATTTGGAATTTTAAAATGAGAGATTTTCTTTATTTCATTTCATTTGGTTTTTTGTTTTAAAAGCGACATACAAGGACTAATGGGCTTCGTAAAAAGCCTGGTCCGTCAGTAACTGGGCTCTCGTTTGGGGATCGAAGCCCACTCTAGTGGGACAAGGAATAATATTTTTCGTTTATAAATCTCTATTTTCTGTTAATATTCAACTGAGTTTTTCTTTTTTTTTTTTTTTTCTTTTTAATACATTTTGACCTTAATGACATAATTTAATAAGGAGACAAAGGAACATTTCAGATGAGTAAAAATTTATAATGTATAAGATTAGAGCGAGTCGAATCTAACAAAGAGACAACAATTCCATGCAAAAAAGAAATGCAAATATAACAAACATGAAAGTACATGCTTCTTTGGATCGTCAAGTACTTTCTGATCAATCTCACTAGCAAAGTTGATTGGTAGTAAGGCTCGTAAGTGAATAGTTCCATTGGAAACAACTTCCTATATCAGTTTTCAAGTTTTTTAAGCAGAAGCAAATGTACACAGTGTATTTCTCATGGGAAAACTGGTTTGATTCATTTTCCACACGAGGAAGCATTAAATAGTGACCCTGAACATGTGCATGCATACAATCAAGTTTCAATAAGTACCTGTTTGACAACAATTGTATCAAGTTTTTGGGAGAAAAAAAGGTGGCTGCCTCCTCTCCTGCTCTCAGACTCCATTTCGGGGCTTGGGGGCCTGTTTTTCTTCTTATTGAAAGTTTCCCTCTATCAGGTTCTCACTTCGACACATACGCTCGGACAGTATATTGCTTCATGGAAGACATTCAGGCGCTACTACGACAGTTCAATTTAACGGGTTCAGCTGGGAAAGTTGTGGAAGTCTCGGACACCTTGGTGCAGCACAGCTGAAGCTTCTTAAAACACGGGATTGTAGGGAGGGTTCTGGGTGATAGATCGCTCAAACGGGAAGCCTTTAAATCTGTTATGCAGGCACTTTGGGGAAAAAATGGTATGATCAAGATCCGGTTTACGGATAGAGATAACTTTTTCTGCGAATTTGAAAGCGAGGCGGATAGAAGCAAGGTCATACGAGGTGAACCATGGTCTTTTGAAAGGCGGTTAATCGTGCTCCAAGAAATAGACGAAAAATCTGCTCCCAATGCTCATCCTTCTCACTCGGCATTCTGGATACAGGTGCACAACCTCCCTTTTATCTTTATGAACAGAGAAATAGCTGAGGTTATTGGTTCACAATTGGGGATATATGTAGAAGTGGATACGGATTTGAGTGGATCATGCTGGGGCTCATACATGCGGATTAGGGTCAAACTTGATGTCTCCAAACCTTTGGTCGCAACGATGGACCTGCAATTAGGATCTATGGGTGGTACGGTGGAGGTTGAATTTAAATACGAAAGACTACCGGAATACTGCACGCTATGCGGATATCTCGACCATGGACTCAAGCATTGCAATTTGGAAGTCCCTCCGGTTTTAAGACGTCAGGAGAACCACCCCTTTGGCCATCGGGTGCGAGCTGCTAATGGACAGTGGAGAGATAATCGAAGGGAGGATGGTACTGGAAGGAATAAGGCAAACAATTCGGGAAGTGATAATAATATCGAAGAAAGTAATGACAAAGTGGAGGAATCAAATTCAGAGGAAATGCCTCCTGCTGGAGGTGGTGAGGGGCAACTGAATTTAGTTCAACGTGAAATGATGCAAACAGATCTGACACAAACCCCAAACTCAATGAAATCACTTATCGTTGTTGGATCCAAAGCCTCTGTATCGACTGGTAATTCTGTGGCAAATTCCGACACTGGTTTTAAAGTTGGGAAGGACCCCAATTTAGATGAGGAAACAAATACCATAAAACCAAGCTGGAAAGTAGATAAAAAGCAAGAATTAGCTGTTGGTAACAGCACTGGAGACCATGGCCTCATGGCAAAAGACAAAGCTATTCTGGAGATAGGAAATAGGAGTCCGAATATGTATAAGAGGAAATGGAAACGTAATGCTAGAAGGGGGCCAGGAAGTCATTCACCTAGTAAATCTAAATCCATCCCAACATAGCGGAAGTTGGATGTCGACGAGGTTGACATTGATACAGGTAAGAGGATGAAAGTTGCAGTGACAAGGTTGAATACGACTGACGCAACGGCGGTCGCTGATGATCAGCCCCGCCGAGAACAATGAGTCTACTATGGTGGAATGCTCGAGGTTTGGGGAGTCCTCGAGCATTCGCAAATCTGAGGCGTCTTGTCCGGGACAAGAAGCCTTCGCTCCTTTTCCTCCTAGAGACTCGGCTAGGAGGCTATAAAACAAAGGACTTTCACATCAGACTCGGATTCAGTGGGGGATTAACTGTCAATAGTGTGGGCAATAGCGGTGGATTAATGTTAATGTGGCAAGAGGATTGGGAGGTCCAACTTCTATCCTTCTCAAAATTCCATCTCTATTCTGTTGTCTCTCACAGAAGTGGACCAAAATGGAATCTCATCAATTTCTATGGGGATCCAGTTGCTTCGGAACGCCACAACTCCTGGACACTCTTGCGAAGATTAGTGGGGGGCTGTGCACACCAGCTTGTTTGCATAGGCGACTTTAATGAAATCCTGATGGCTAACGAGAAATGGGGAGGAAGTAACCGGACCAGATTATCTATAGAGGGTTTTAAAGAGATGATACAGGACTGTGAATTGAGTGATCTCGATTTCTCGAGCCAGGAATTTACGTGGGCCAAACACTCGCGAGCGGACAATAATATTCTCGTTCGACTTGATAGGGCATTGGCCACTTTGGAGTGGCGTGACTTGTTCCCCAGGGCTCTGGTTTTGCATCTCGACTTCTATGGTTCAGACCACCGTGCTATTGAACTCGTCCTTCAGCGAAATAGTGGGGGGGCCTCCAAGGCGCAAGAGACTAAGACAATTCAAATTTGAGCCACTCTGGCTATGTGAGAAAGGCTGCATTGATGTCATACATGAAGGATGGAGCCCTGGACGCAATTCCCATGTGGACAGTGATGGAATTGAAGGGCGGCCAGAATCAGCTAGAATGGGTGGCGAAATGGACAGAATAAATGGCAGGGACTGCATTGATAATTTTGTTGGCAAGATAGAGACATGCAGGGACAAGCTTGTCCAGTGGGGTGGGAATATTAGGGAGCTCCCGGCTAAAATTAAGACAATTCGTTCAAAGTTGAAACGACTTAAGGAGGAAAATTTCTCGGTGACGAATTTCGAGAAGATTCGATCATTGGAGGGTGAATTGGAACTTTTGTTAAACAAGGAAGAACTTTATTGGAAACAAAGATCCCGCATGGACTGGTTACATCATGGAGATCGCAATTCTAAGTTCTTCCACAGTAAAGCATCAGCTCGGAAGGTTAATAACACCATGCTTGGGTTATTTGATGTCAATGGCACCTGGAGAACTGATTGTGAGGGCATTGGAGATGTGGTGGCGAACTACTTTCACACCTTGTTCCAATCTTCCCAACCATCCCCCGAAGACATCGAGACTGTTACCCAGGCTGTGAACCCAGTAGTCTCTGATCATATGAATAGAGTTCTTAGGGACCCCTTTACTGACAAAGAGGTGCGATATGCACTATTTATGACAGGTCCTTTCAAGGCACCAGGGCCTGATGGTTTTCACGCAATATTCTATCAGAAGTCATGGGAGGTGGTGGGTAAGGATGTGGTGAAGGTATGTCTGGCGGTGTTGAATAGTGGGGAATCGGTGGAAAAGCTTAATCACACGAACGTAGTTCTTATTTCGAAAATCCAAAATCCAACTAATATACAAGAGTTCAGGCCCATTAGCCTATGTAATGTGATATATAAAGTCATTACAAAAACCATTGCGAATCGCTTGAAGATCATTTTAGGAGATGAGATTTCTGAAAATCAGAGTGCTTTTGTTCCGGGTAGACTCATTACTGATAATGTGATTGTTGGCTTCGAAACTATGTACTCCATCTCTTACAAAACTAAGGGGCGTAATGGAATGATGGCGATGAAATTGGATATGTCGAAAGCTTATGATCGAGTGGAGTGGGGTTTTCTCTCCGCCATAGTGCATAAAATGGGCTTTAATGAAGAATGGGTGGAGCTGATCATGAGATGTGTTTCGTCTGCTGCATTCTCCTTCTTGATCAATGGAGAACCCAGGGGATTTGTGCGCCCAAGCAGGGGCTTGAGACAGGGATGCCCTCTGTCTCCCTATCTATTCTTGCTTTGTGCTGAAGGACTCTCCTGCTTAATCTCCAAAGCAGCTCTTATGGGCGATATTAAAGGTGTCGCATGCTCAAGGTATGGTCCCCGAATTAGCCATTTATTTTTTGCTGATGATTCCTTGGTTTGTTGCAGAGCCAATATTCATGACAGTCAGCACGTTCTGAACTTGCTACATTCATATGAAAAGGCCTCGGGACAAAAAATTAATCTGTTGAAGTCAAATATCACCTTCAGCCCAAATGTTCCTGAAATTCAGAAGCGTAGTATTCTTGAGCTTTTTCGACTGGACACAGCTAGATCACATGACAAGTACTTGGGGTTACCATCACTTATTGGAAGACGAAAAGCTGAAATTTTTCAATTCCTAAAAGATAGAGTGTGGAAGAAAGTACAAGCTTGGAAGCATAACCAGTTCTCCTATAGTGGAAGGGAAGTACTCCTCAAAACGGTGATCCAGGCTATCCCAACCTATGTTATGGGTATTTTTAGAGTTCCAGCAGCCTGTTTGGGTGGAGTCCAGAAATTGATGGCGTCTTTTTGGTGGGGTGGTTTAGATACGAAACGAAGACTACACTGGAATAAATGGTCTCAAGTATGCAAACATAAGGTGGATGGTGGGATGAGCTTCAGAGACATGGAAAGTTTTAACCAAGCTCTTTTGGCAAAACAAGTCTGGCGCATTCTTCAGAACCCGAACTCATTGGTGAGCCGTGTCATTAAATTCAAGTACTACTATTATGGCCATCTATTATCTGACCATGTTCGTAGACATGGGTCATTCCTATGGACAAGTTTTATGTGGGGTCGTGAGCTTCTATTGAAGGGAATTATCTGGAGAGTAGGCAATGGGAGGTCAATCTCTGCGTTCCATGACCCGTGGATCCCTAAGGCAATATCCTTCAAGTCTATGTCCCAAGCAGTGCCACAGATCCATACGGTCTCTGAGCTTATAACCTATAGAGGGTGGAACCATGGTCTATTAGAAGAATGTTTCAACCCGGTAGACAGCGAGGCTATCCGAAGCATCCCCCTTGGGAAATTACCGACCCCTGACCAATTGATTTGGAGACACTCCGAAGATGGCGAATATTGTGTCAAATCGGGTTACTGGCTGGCATATACAATTAAGACCCCTGGATTGGAGGTAAGTAGTAGTTACAACTCTTATGCTAAATGGTGGAAATTCTTATGGGCCTTGAATATCCGGCCAAAAGTCAGAGCGTTCATGTACCGAGCTTTCAACAATATTATCCCCGCCTTATTCAACTTAACTCGTCGCCATGTGCCTATTTCTCCAGTATGTGATATGTGTCATCTGGATTATGAAACTGCCGTCCATGCGTTAATTCGATGTGACCGAGCCTATGCCATGTGGTACCAAGCTGGCCTGGGAAAATTAATATCTGAGTTTAAAGGGACTGAATTCTCGAATTTTACAATGCTTGCATATCATAAGCTGAAAATTAACGAGTTTGAGAAACTGTGTATGACGGCATGGCAGATTTGGAGTGACCAGAATGTTTTGCATCATGGTAGAAGTGTCCCTCCAGTGCAACATCAATGTGAAAAAGTGGAAGTATTTTTGGCAGACTTTCAATCCACACAGCTTTCTCTTAAGGTGTCGTGTCGGGTTTCTGCAAATCAGTCTGGAATATCTCGTAGAAAATTTTGGAAAGCACCACCTACTGATGAATTGATCCTCAATACTGATGCAGCAGTTAACATCGAGGAAGGGGAGATTGCCATTGGGGCTGTTGTTCGCAATCACCGTGGGGAGGTAATGGTTTCGCTGGGCAAAGTGTTTAAAGGAAATTACTCTCCACTCACGGCTAAAATTTTGGCCATTAGAGAGGGGCTGGAATTTGTAGCAGATTCGGGGCTAAGGGTGAACATTGTTGAAACGGATTCCCTGCTTTCGGTCCAAGCCATTAGTCTTCATCCCCCGTTCTCCCAGGTGCTGAATGTAGCTGAGGACTGTAGCTTCCTCATGGCTCGTATGGAAAATTGTAAAATTCGACACGCCCCAAGACAGACCAATCAGGTGGCTCATGAATTAGCGCTTTTGGCGAAAAACTCTAGGATTGACTTTATGTGTTGTGAAGAGGTTCCAGAACCCATTGTGAATCTGGTGAACTATGATATTTCTCATATGATTGATTAATGAGATTTTGGTATGTTTCCCTCAAAAAAAAAAAGTAAGAAATTTTTTTTATAGCACGAAAAAAAATCTTAGATATTATTACATTTACAATTTCTGAACTTGAGCTTGGATGTGTATAAGCTGCCAAAATACTCATGTTGAAATCCTGTGACGAAGACATGACATGATTATGGGCGAGAGACAGAACATAAAATGATATCAAGAATCAGGACGGATTCATAATCACACTTAAAAAAAAAAATTCAAATCAAGCTAATAATAATAATTACACATAAAAAAACTTTTTTACATAAAAATTATTTTTTTTACACAAAAAACATGGAATGGGCGGTAGCTCGATCCCCTACATCCACCCTTGTCAAGAATGTATATGACAGATGATATTTTTGCTAACGAAGAATTTTATAGAAAACAATTTATGCAAATTTATCACCTTTTTGTGTACTAAATTACTAACCCCACCAAAACTATGAAAAAGGAAAATAGAAACTCTTGGTAACTTCCTTGAAGTGAGGTTTATTGAGAGCGGTAAAAATTATGTACCAAAACTTTTCTCTCTCACCATTTTTACCATTAAATGGGGTAATAAATTTATCTTTTCTTTAAATAAACAAGATAAAAGAAAGAAGTAGAACAATAAAAAATGAAGAAAATTTGTAAACAAGGAGTCCCATACCTTTAAAGTAAGAAGGGATCTCACTTAAATCAATTAGATACATATTAATACATAAAAATTAGAAAAAAATTGTTTTCCCCATCCAAGCCCACCGTCCACCCCACCCACGACCAGACACCATCTCCATAAATGCAACCACGTCAACATTGGTATCACTATAACCACCATAGAAAAATTAATCAAAAGCAGCTCAATTGACTCTATCTATCCTTTTGATTGGATTGCCTCTGGTCACATAATAATCCGCAAAAGTCTTTTGACTGTCTATAAAAAGAATGTTCAACATAATTAAGTTGCATTTGACTTTCAATAGACCAATTTAAACATTGGGAAAATGATCTATCTTCATTTCATTAATTAAAACAAGAAAAAAAATTGCATCTTTCCCACTCCCACTCCCCCACCACCAAAACCCGACTGTCCAACCCACCGCAACTCCAGCTGTGAACGGCACGAGTTTTCCCAAGAGTAACAGCAAAATTTGGTGAAATGTGCCACGAGGGTGGAATACTGACAGAGGAACGTATTGCCGATTGCGGCTATTCTACAACTACAATACAACTTTCAATCAAAGCACAACTAAACGTAGATAAATAAGTCCCAGTTTGCCCACCATTAAAATAACTCTCCTTTCTTTTTTCCCAAACTTGTTTTTAACTACACATTCTCACAATAAAATATTCCCCACGTAAACCCCCATTTTTTTTTTTTTTAACTTTTTAACCAATTATTCTTCAAAAATATTACTATTCCAAAATTCATTTTTTTTTCCAAAAAAATTCACAGAAGTTTAAATTTTAGGTTACCTAAGCCCAATCTTTCATTCTCACTCTCGTTGTACAAATTTGGCCAAGTACAAGAATCGATAAAAGGATGAATGTCCATGGCATATCAAGAAGATAGTCATTCGGCACATAAACCAGGGACCACCAAATTTTCCTCCCGAGGTAGTTACTCAACACCAATGGTCAAACTGCAACAGAGCGCACCAGATTTTCCGTCCAAGGTTACTCAACACCACCGGGCAACATGCAGCTGAATGAATACTCCAAAATATACACGAAATTGATGCACAAGCTTTAAAATGAGAGATTTTCTTTATTTCCATTTCATTTGGTTTTTTGTTTTAAAAGCGACATACAAGGACTAATGGGCTTCGTAAAAAGCCTGGTCCGTCAGTAACTGGGCTCTCGTTTGGGGATCGAAGCCCACTCTTGTGGGACAAGAAATAATATTTTTCGTTTATAAATCTCTATTTTCTGTTAATATTCAACTGAGTTTTTCCTTTTTTTTTTCTTTTTAATACATTTTGACCTTAATGACATAATTTAATAAGGAGACAAAGGAACATTTCAGATGAGTAAAAATTTATAATGCATAAGATTGGAGCGAGTCGAATCTAACAAAGAGACAACGATTCCATGCAAAAAAGAAATGCAAATATAACAAACATGAAAGTACATGCTTCTTTGGACCGTCAAATACTTTCCGATCAATCTCACTAGCAAAGTTGATTAGTAGTAAGGCTCGTTAGTGAATAGTTCCATTGGAAACAACTTCCTATATCAGTTTTCAATTTTTTTAAGCAGAAGCAAATGTACAAAGTGTATTTCTCATGGGAAAACTGGTTTGATTCATTTTCCACGTGAGGAAGCATTAAATAGTGACCCTGAAAATGTGCATGCACACAATCAAGTTTCGCTAAGTCCTGTTTGAGAACAATTGTATCAAGTTTTTGGGAAGAAAAAAATGAATTTTAAATTCGTGATTGTTTGAAGAATGTGTGGTTAAAAAGTAGGAAAATTTTTTTATAACACGAAAAAGAATCTTAGATATTATTACATTTACAATTTCTGAACTTGAGCTTGGATGTGTATAAGCTGCCAAAATACTCATGTCGAAATCCTGTGACGAAGACATGACATGATTATGGGCGAGAGACACAACATAAAAAAAATTCAAATCAAGCTAATAATAATAATTACACATAAAAAAACTTTTTTACATAAAAAACATGGAATGGGCGGTAGCTCGATCCCCTACATCCACCCTTGTCAAGAATGTATATGACAGATGATATTTTTGTTAACGAAGAATTTTATAGAAAACAATTTATGCAAATTTATCACTTTTTCGTGTACTAAATTACTAACCCCACCAAAACTATGAAAAAGGAAAAGAACTATGCCACTTGTACATAATTTCTTGTACATATGTATGTAAGTACATGATTTTTGAAATCCTGTCCTTGTAGCATGACCCTTTTTTTTTAGGATAAAGCTACTTGTACATAATTTCTTGTACATAAGGGTGTCCACCCTCTCACATGGGGTGGACCCCGCATGAATAAAATAGAAACTCTTGGTAACTTCCTATAAGTGAGGTTTATTGAGAGCGGCAAAAATTATGTACCAAAACTTGTCTTTCTCACCATTTTTACCATTAAATGGGGTAATAAATTTATCTTTTCTTTAAATAAACAAAAATAAAAGAAAGAAGTAGAACAATAAAAAATGAAGAAAATTTGTAAACAAGGAGTCCCATACCTTTAAAGTAAGAAGGAATCTCACTTAAATCAATTAAATACATATTAATACATAAAAATTAGAAAAAAATTGTTTTCCCCATCCAAGCCCACCGTCCACCCCACCCACGACCAGACACCATCTCCACAAATGCAACCACGTCAACGTTGGTATCACTATAACCACCATATAAAAATTAACCAAAAGCAGCTCAATTGACTCTCTCTATCCTTTTGATTGGATTGCCTCTGGTCACATTATAATCCGCAAAAGTCTTTTGACTGTCTATAAAAAGAATGTTCAACATAAATAAGTTGCATTTGACTTTCAATAGACCAATTTAAACATTGGGAAAATGATCTATCTTCATTTCATTAATTAAAACAAGAAAAAAAATTGCCTCTTTCCCACTCCCACTCCCCCACCACCAAAACCCGACTGTCCAACCCACCCCAACTCCAGCTGTGAACGGCACGAGTTTTCCCAAGAGTAACAGCAAAATTTGGTGAAATGTGCCACGAGGGTGGAATACTGACATAGGAACGTATTGCGGCTATTCTACAACTGCAATACAACTTTCAAGCAAAGCACAACTAAACGTAGATAAATAAGTCCCAGTTTGCCCACCATTAAAATAACTCTTCTTTCTTTTTTCCCAAACTTGTTTTTAACCATACATTCTCACAATAAAATATTCCGCACGTAAACCCCCAATTTTTTTTTTTTACTTTTTAACCACTCATTCTTCAAAAATATTACTATTCCAAAATTCATTTTTTTTTCCAAAAAAATTCACAGAAGTTTAAATTTTAGGTTACCTAAGCCCAATCTTTCATTCTCACTCTCGCTGTACAAATTTGGCCAAGTACAAGAATCGATAAAAGGATGAATGTCCATGGCATATCAAGAAGAGAGTCATTCGGCACATAAACCAGGGACCACCAAATTTTCCTCCCGAGGTAGTTACTCAACACCAATGGTCAAACTGCAACAGAGCGCACCAGACTTTCCGTCCAAGGTTACTCAACACCACCGGGGCAACATGCAGCTGAATGAATACTCCAAACATATGTGCTTTAACTACGTGTTCGATAACCAAACTTCGAGCAGTAATTAACGCAACGCTAATAAGAAAAAAGATATCTAATACAGATCAAAACACGAGGAACAGCAAAGCAGGACGACGGTCCTGTCTACTATTCATAAAAACGAAGTGAACATGAACCAAAGTAGGCAATCATATTCAAAGATTACAGAATTATAAGAGCAAGCTACTATGAGAATAAAATCCAATATTACAAAACACTTCATGCATTGGAAACAGTAGCCATAACTTGGTATTAAATGACATTGGGAGAACAAACGAAGGACCTTTTTTCTGCCACTTCTCAAACACATTTATCGGCCCTTTTCAAAATTAATGCGCGATCTACCAGATGTTTCAAAACCATCACGCATAGAGCCTGCACCAGCCTTCAAGGTTCCTCCAGTACCAACTTTATCCATGGCCTTCTTCCCTTTCTTCACCTCCGTTAAAAACTGATCCAAACCAAATGGATCAGCTTCTTCAGCCTCTCTTTCAAACTCAACTGGCCTATCTCTTTGACTGGTTCTTTCAGATGTTCCTGTAAATGCCTTGTCAGGCTTAAAACGATCGGTTTTCATTAACTTGTCCAGCTGTTCGTCTGCACCTCCATACACCTCGTCATCTGCATCCTTCTTCGGTCTGTACAGAGTATTCATAGTAGATTGAGCAGCAAATAAGCCCTTGTCGTATATGTTGTAAGCATCATCGGTGGCAAAACCAGAGTCCATCCCTTTCTCCTGGTTAAACAATCTTTGGTCATACATAACTTCACCCCCTCTTCCAGCTCCAGCTGAGGCCATTCCAAGAGCGACTTTCTCACTGATATCACGATCTCTATCCCTTGTAATTTTGCTCTTCTTCCCCATTGCGGCATCTTTTGCCTCCAGCCTCCTCTCCCTCTCCCTCTCACGACGCCTCTCCTCACGAATTTTCTCCCTCTGCAACCTCTCCTCTCTTTCCTCCTTTGACTCCTTGGGGGCATCTCTCACACGCTCATAATCAACACTCATATCATCGCTGTTCATTGCACCCCTCTCAGAAGGCATTTGTGCTGCAGCAGCAGGAGCAACGCCAGTTCTCTCAGATCTCGCCTTCCTGGCCAACTCCCGCAGCTCCATCTCTTTCTTCTCCTTTTCTTTCATCATCATCTCCTTCTGAACCTTTGACCGCATTGCAACAGCCTCTCTTGCCTTCTGTTCTGCAACATATAAAGCCTCTGATAATTTAGCAAAATTGTCATTAATCTGAACATCCTGAAGCCCTCGACCATCAGCAGCCAGACGTTTGTCAAGCGGTATTGTATACCCCTTAGGGTTCTTCCAGTTGGAAATACACGGTGGAATCTTCCAGTCCTGCTGATCCTTCACAGTCACAGGACGAGGTGGAGAATGCATAACCGGCACTGGGGGAGAACCAGATGCCTTTGGGACCCTCTTATGTTTAAACTTGGGTGGGTCCAAGGGGTCAACCGGCATTTCAACCATTCGGATAATTCTTTCCTTGGCTCCTGAATTAAATGCTGCTGACTGTTGAGATGGCTTGTACTTAATAAACTTAGAATCCGAAGACTGTGTTGGAACATTTTTTGGTTGCGCAGCACTCAACCTCACATTCACAATCTTCTCAAGTGCAGCCTTAGTCTCCAGCGTCGTCTCATCAATCACTTTCTGTATCTCGTCAACATCTGTCTCCTCTTGCTCATCATCTTTCAAAACCTTCGGGACCAAATCCCTATGCTGTGAATGCACAATCTTCTTTGCATTCTCATTTTGCCTCACGATTGCATCGTATCTCACATTCCCCTGCTCATCCACTGTAACAGGCAAAGTCCTTGAACCAGCATTCTGAGACTTACTCCTTCCCATACCAAGTGGGTACTGTGCATAGTGGATTTCTGGAAATGCTCCTCCATCACCAAAGTCCTCAGGCTTCGAAGGTTTAAATCCAGCCCGTTTCAAGTATGGCGGCACCGGCTTGGACTTCACCATCTCAGATATTTCAGCCTCAGATGAGCTGTACCTTTGTTTGAACCAAGGATCATTAGAATGGTCATAATGCGTAGTCCCTGATGATTTTACTGGTGGAAGAAGGTCCTTTAATGCCGCCATCACCCTCTCCTCACACTGAATCTGCAAGATTAAAACAAAAATAAGAAAACAATAACTCCAGCTGAATATTTTCTAGAATGAAAACATAATACTACAGTGCAAATTTCTGTAAATGTAATAGAACAGCACAGATATTTTCTTTTAAGTGCCCCTTTTTCATGGTCTAAGCCTTCCTTTAGACTGTTTATCAAAAGCATGGTCAAAAAGTCAATTTAACCCCTTCCAAGACAAGGTCTTCTACTACTTCTGTGCCTTTAGCTTCTTCTCTACAGAAATGGACCAAATGGTAGTACCTCCGACCCCAATCCCTACCCGTGTTCTGGCCCCTCACCCCAACTGTGAGCTCCGGAAACTCCCTATAAGAAACCCACAAGATGCCCTGTCTGCTGAGAAACAAGTATGGTATTTCTATACCAAGGAGATTGGATAACTTATTCATGTCTCTGTGTTGTTGTCAATTTTATCAAAAGATATATAAACATATTAAGAGGCCTATTCAATCTGCAGCATCAAAAAATTTATCAGATATATTTGTAACATGAATGCTGTGCAGAGATACAGTTCTTGTTTAATATATCATGTGAAGTTTCAGGAATTCTTTATCAGGGTTAAAATTTCACGTTTCCTTCAAATCTTGATAGATAATGTTATCCTGCTCAGAATTGCACTTAAAGTATGGCAGATGGCATTACTTCGGGGGTCTCGAAATTTCACTGTCGGGGTGAAAACCTAATTAGATCTGAAGTACTGGTGGGAATGGGTGAGGAAGACAGTGTTCAGAAATATCAATTAAAAGGAGGTCAATACACAGAGCAGTGCAAACCAAAGGGAATGATGACCTTGGTTGTACCAAGTCTGAAACCAAGTGGATTTATTTTTTGGGCCTTCTAACTGACTGCTGCTAGTTTAAAATACAGTGGTCCAGGTTTATTGTTTAAAAAAGCAGCTATTTAATTTCACTTAATTTGCAAGATTCAGTATTGTAAATTTCATTTATGACAAACAGGAAAAAATTGCAAGAAGTAGAGAGAGATCAATTAGAACATATTAAGCCCCTATTTGGTGGGGATTAAAATTAAATTTTTAGTAGATTTTGATAAAAAAAAAATTTGAAATGTATGGTTAAAAGTTGTGGGACCCATATCAAAGAAGAAACCTTGAGAGAAATTCAATATGATTGATAGAAAAATTAAATTGAATACGGTACACAAAGTTCAGCATTTATAGGCACATAATGGCTGCTAACCAACTAAACTAACAGCTATAACTGTACAACAGATTCCAGCTCACATGTTAATTGTCTAAACTAATTGCCAACCTCAAACTAACATAAAAGTCAACAGATTTCAGCAGCAACAAAATTCAGACTGAGGTTTCTTTCATTTGCTTCTTGAGCCTTTAATTCCAAGGTTTCTATATGAGATTGTAGGTTCCAACATAGCCACCGTTCAGTATTGGTTTAAATCAGATTTTAATCAAAGTCAAAGTCAATCAATCAATATTAATCACATATTTTCCTTTTCTCGGTAAGCCTCATTCTATTGCTTCATATCTTTCTACTTCTAAGTTGTCATCCAACTATAGAGCTTTTGTTGATGCTGTTTTGTCTACCTTTGAACCTAAAACTTTCAAACAAACTATCCTATACCCTCGATGGAAAATTGCTATGGCAAATGAAATTAAATCTATTGAATTGAATCATACTTGAGACCTTGCTATTCTACCTCCACATAAGACTGCAATAGGATGCAAACGGGTTTATCGTGTGAAATTTAAAGCTGATGGTACAGTTGAAAGGTACAAAGCTCGATTAGTAGAAAAATGGTACAATCAACAAGGACTTGATTTTTTTGATACAGTCTCCTCTGTAACAAGGATGACTACCATGCGCACTTTACTTTCCATTGTTGCAGTCAAATAATGGCATTTACATCAACTTGATGTAAATAATGCTTTTCTACATGGAGATTTGCATGAAGAAGTGTATACGTAGCTACCACCAGGTACTCTTCACCCACTAATCCTAGAGCTTGCAAACTCAAAAAGAGCTTGCATGGTTTAAACCAGGCTTCAAGACAATAATTTTCAAAATTATCCTCATCTCTGCTTTACTTTGGTTTTATTCAAGGCAAGTCCGATTCTTCTTTGTTCATTAGACAAACTTCAAAGAATTTCATGGCCCTACTGATATATGTTCATGAATTTATCATTGCATCTGATAACCTCCGACTATATCTGTAACATTTCTTCATAAACGTACTATGAAAGTGGTAGTTTCTGAACCCACTTGATTTTATAAAAAAACTCTTAACTTCATCGAGCTAGTCGTTCCCTGTAATGAGATACAGTTACATTCATACGGAATCTATAAGATGTTCTGTCACCAAAAAGACCAACATAACGTGTAGCTTTTCCTATGGAATCCACACTAAATCTGAGTGCAAATGATTTGTCACATCCTCTGTCCAATCCTGCATCCTATAGAAGGCTTGTTGGTCATATCTTATACCTTACAATAACTAGGCCTGACTTGGCTTATTCGGTACAAGCATTAAGTCAATTCATGGCTAATCCTAGTCACACACATCTTCAAGCTACTGAGAAGGTTTTGAGATATATTAAGGCAACGCCAAGTCGAGGCATTTTCTTGTCTGCAGCGTCAACCACCTGTGAGCTTCAATGGCAGATCTACCTTATGGCTGACTTGTATATTACTCATCCTCAAGCAGCTTTACTTTACACTCACAACAAACCTGCCTCTGATAAGGCTTCTAATCATGTTCATCACGAAAGAACAAAGCATATTCAACTAGATTGTCATCTTGTTCGAGAGAAATTGCAAGAAGGTCTCATCAAAATCATCTACATCCCTTCCAAACATCAGTTGGCTGATATACTGACTAAACCACTTGGTTCTCTCAACTTTCATCATCTCACCAGCAAGATGGGATTGATAAACATCCATTCCCCACTTGATGGGGGTGTTGGAACCTACAATCTCATGTAGAAGCCTTGGAATTGAAGGCTCAAGAAGCAAAGGAAAGAAACCTCAGTCTGAATTCTGTTGCTGCTGAAATCTATTGAGTGTTATGTTAGTTTGAGGTTGGCACTTGGTAGTTAGTTTAGACAGTTGGCATGCGAGCTGGAATCTGTTGTACATTTATAGTTAGTTTAGTTGGTTAGCAGCCAGTATGTATCTATAAATGCTGAACTGTGTACCGTATTCAATTTAATTTTTCTATCAATCATAATGAATTTCTCTCAAGGTTTCTTCTTGGATTTGCTGCTCTCTAAATTCTAGATTAAAGAATTGCACAGGCTAAGTCAGCAAAATCACCAAAAAAATTAAAAGAAAAGGCCTTGGTAAAAAAAAATCAGCAATTACAAATCTGCAGTAAATAAGGAAGAAGGAGCTATATCCTAAGTGCTGGGAAGAAAAAAAAGATTATCCTGAATTTTGAAGAACCAATAAAAATTTTTTGAACAAAAATGTTCTTACCAACAGTCAATAATATCCTGAAACCAATGAGTTAATACAAAATATGAATTAACCTCTAAAAACTACGCAAAATGTCAAATTCGAGATAAAATAACATGACTACCAACATCTAATGATAATAAGAAATGCAGACAAAATGAATATTTCCGAAAAAAAAAATAGCTCAAAGTATCAATATATAAATTCTGCACCAGCATGGTGAGATTCTCCAAAGCTCTCACCAAAAAGAACAAAAAAGCAGATATTGAAACGTAGTTTCAAATAAGTTGGTAAGAACTTAGACTCAAAAAGCTTTACAAAAAGTAACATCACAACTCATGAAGGTATTGAGTTTACCATACTAATTCAATTACAAACTACAAGCAAAAACACTCTGAAAAGAACAAACATCCAGCCAACAAATAACATCTTAATTTATATTCCCATTTCCTCTGGTTAATGAACAATACTATTAAACAAAACTTTAAATTACCCATACAAATGCAAATATGGTTGTCAACATGACAGCTTGGAACACATAAATACTGCATATATTCTCTATTGTTGTAGACCTCCTCTTCTCACAACGAACAAATTTTGTTTCCCGCATTCATATATAACTTTTAGAAAATTGGATAAATCTGAAAAAAAAAATCTAAAATCGCAGTCCTTCTAAAAGATTTTTAAAAAACCATTACATCCGATAATTGGATACCTTTGTGGGTTGAGCTTGAGATTGAAACGAAGTGATTGTTGAATATGATTAGAAGATCACAGTCTAGGTTTCTGGAAAATAGGAAAATTAATAGTTCTATACGATGAACTGGTAGAAAAAGATGAACATCGGAAAAGACTCTGTAATCAGCTTTAATAATAAGCACTAAAGAATCTAAATCAAAACTTTCAAAAAAAATGAAACATAATTTAATAATCGAGGCTTATAGTATATTTACCTGATTGATTGAGAGTAAATAAGGTGGAAGAAGCAAGATCCGATAGAAATTTAATATCCAAATTTGTCTTGAATAGATCGGAAAGTGTTATACTCCGATTTCGCTTCGCTATCGACTAGGGTTAGGATGAAGGAGACAAAAAACAGATGGATGAGCTCAGAATTGAATTCTGAGAATAAAATTAGAAGAGTTTGGGGCTAAATTCTGAATTAGGGTTTAGATTTTTGAGCGATGGAAAGGAATTTGTTGCTTTTTGAGCTTCCAGTATGCTATTGAGTTTTTTAAAAGTCATTTTAGTCCCTAAGCTTTTAATTTCGTACACACAAGTGCCCCAAATTACTCTAAGGCGGTTTACATGGATTTCGATTCGGATTAGAAAGAAAAGAAGAAAGTAGCGAGGATTCTTCTTTCGACTCCGACTCTCCCATTCTATCTCCCAATTAAATAGAACTTCCTACTGAAAACTTTTATTTGATTTATAATATGAGTTAGTAAGATTAAATATCCATTATTCTTTCTTTATACATGATTATCACATAAAATTATTTATATTTCATTATAAATAGTTTACTTTGTAAATAGATAAAAATAAATAGTAAATAATACTTACGAATATATTGAAACGAGTAATTAAAATAAAGTTCAATTATCTGTAAATAATTTATAAATTTTGTCGAACGAACGTTAGCTATCTATCTTCATTCAATCACCACAAAACAAAATAATAATAATAATAATAATAATAATAATAATAATAGAGCATTTATCCATAATTAAATAATGAGAAATTTGCAATACAGGTTCCAATTTTTTTAATAAATACGTAATCAACTTTCAAACTTTTTAATTTTAGTACCCAATATTTCACATCTTTTAATAAATGCAATCGTTGACCAAGAGTCAAATGTCTAAAATGGTCTTTAATATTTAATTAACAAAAATGAAGAAGATAAATATGAGAAATTAAAAAGCATTTATCTACCCCCATTCTATCCAACCCCACAAAAAGCCAAAAAGGCAACTACCCTAATATCAGTATATCACCAACCCAGCCAACGCCAACATTGGTAAGCACTATAAACATCGATACAATTGTGATCGACAACATTGATTTTGTCAAAATTTAGACCATTAATTTAAAAAAAATTATTAAAATTGATGAATGTCATGTTGTTAAGTGTAAGTTGTCAATCAAAATTTATATTAAAAAATAAAAAATTGTACAAGTAGCATGATTGATAAACACCCCACAAGCTTGGACCGCTACCAAATGAGGGGATTTCTCCATCGGGTTTTGGTCAGAAATCCAGGATGGAAATCTCCTCGAATTATTGCATAAATCTGATTATCTCTTGTTTAAAGTTCTTTATATGCGAAACTCGAGTTTTCTCTCCCTGTCCCTTGGATTGTTGACAAACAAGATCTGTCATCCCCTCTTGTTTCGTCGAAAAACTAGAGTTTCGAACCTCTGGTTTCACCTGAAAACCACAGATTCACCGCTATCGAATCAACAATTGAGAATCTTGCAACTTCAAATCAATTGAAGGCATATATGATTTAATTTTTGAGTACAGTTTTTGTTCCTATTGTTATTATTGAGTCTAAGAGACCGGTAACGAAAAGAAAGGAAAGAATATTGAGACACAACTCCGAGGTTAGTAAAAACTGAGCCAGCTGATAATAACTCCTCCAATACAAAAGTCCCAACAAAAGAATCCAAATCAATGTATCATCGAGTGCAAGTCCATAGTAATAAGACAGAGGCAGGACTCAGAGGTAAATATGAAGAGAGAGAGAAAAAAAAGATCTACAATAGGAAGTAGAGCAAAGCAATTCCGAAAACAAAGCTCCCAGAAATCCTCTGCAATGTCGAGCCTGCTCTACTCTGCAAACACAAATTCAAATTTTATGTAAGAATTTACCCATTTATAACAGTTTCACTGTTGAAAATCAAATGGTCCATTATATCTGTTTAGTTCAACAATGGAGATCCAGATAACCCGCATAAATCATTTAATCGAACCTATTAAATGTGACCATCTAGATTGGTGTTGGATAACATTAAATTATACCATGTTCCTCAACATGGTGTCTCAGCCTATGTCGTGTGATTTAAGTCTTTAACAATTAACACGAGTCTTGCTTGAAATAGACTATTTCTGGTTCTCATTAAATGTAAATCTAGGGTAGGTTGCTTCGTTTATTGAACCAAATAAACAAAAATAAAAGTTTTCTAGCTTTTTTTCTATGTACGGCCACTAAGGGGAACATCGGAACGTGAACCTTGAAAACACGCGCCCCTATGTGTTTGCATCTCAACAAGAACAGTATCGTCTCCAGTAGAACTCGACTAAACCTAGGTACATTAGTTCCGTGATTTACGAGAATGCCAAAAAAAATGTAAAACGTAACAGATCAAGTGTGTACATTGCACGATCGGCGCACAGTAGTCTTTAAAACACATGGTGCGAGTGATATAGTTATGTGTGACAGAATTTACCTGATCAGTGGCTGATGGAGCAGGAGAAGGAGCCTGGATACTCGGCGAAGGAGATCCGGTCGGAGGAGACGGAGGACTCGTCAAAGACGGAGACAGTGCTGGAGATGTAGCTGGAGCAGGCACCGTAGCTGGAGGAGCAGCCAGCGGTGCGGGTGTGGGAGCAGAAGGCGGTGGAGGAGGAACAGGTGGAGGACTAGCAGGTGGAGTAGCAGGTGGCGGGGAACTCACTGGAGGAGGAGTAGCAGGTGGCGGCGAGCTCACTGGAGGAGGAGTAGCAACTGGTGGAGGTGAAGCAGGTGATGTTGGTGTGGGAGCAGCAGTAGCTGGAGGCGGAGATGTAACAGCTGGAGGTGGAGATGACGTGGGTGGAGGTGTAGTAGCTACTGGCGGTGGTGTGGAGGCAGAGGTAGGTGGAGTAGCTGTAGTAGATGGGGGAATAGCAGTGGGTGTAGTTGGAGTCGACGGTGTGGTTGTCGGAGAAGCTCCAGGAGCTTGGCCGCCGACGCCAGCTACGACAATGCAGATAAAAGCGATGAGTACAGCGCGTTTTGTATCCATTACTAAAATATAAGGCGACTTTGCACTGAAATGTAATAAGAGAGGGGGATGGGAGGGACTGTTTTTTATAGGAAAATGTACGTATAGAGCGGGTTTAGAGGTAAAAAGGTGTTTTTGTATAGAACCGTAGATGAGTAAAAACGGCAGGTGGGTACTTTTGTTCGCAAGGGGTTGGAAGTTGTGACGAGCAAATGCACAAGCCTGCAGTTCTCTGTGGTTAGGTGGGTCCTACTGATTTTCATGATTTCATTTGTGACAACAAATTTTTAACCTTAACATAATTATTCCTTGGGATAATTGCAGCGACACCAAACCTTTTATTGAATAGTAAACTTTGCTCAAATCTTTCATTTATGTTAAACATTTCAAAATATCGCAACTAAAGTCCAACTTGATAATTTTTGTTAATTTGACTATTAGTTGACCAAATAATTGACTTTGACAATAATTTTAACTAATTTTAAAACGATAAAATGGTAACTTTACATTTTTTTATAATAAAATAACCAAAATCAAATAATTAAAATTAAAAAACTATTTATACCTTCTTCTCCCCCACCCCAAATATGCAAAGTGAGATGTATCAGTGATAGATTTATCGGGAAAAAATGTTACTAAGAATGAAGAAATGGACTACTCGTCCGAGTATTTTCCTGAAATCGATGAGACCTTTTGGTCCAATGACTTCTCAACAAACGAAAACTTAAACAAGTAATCATCAAATTTCCCAGCTACAAACGATGAAGTTCAGTTCAGATTCCCTCCGTCTTCTAAGGAAATCGATGCCGAGATTTCAAAAGTTGATGATAGCATTGACTCTTTGGTACAATGTTTTCATTAGAGCTGGAGACATGCTTGATTTACCAATGTTTTGAGTGTTGTTTTGGATATAGTGCTTGTTTGGTAAAGATTAAAATTTAATTAAAATTGAAAATATAGTCGTTATTGTGTCACACTCGTCTAATAAAAGTCAACAATAACGGTTAATTTTTCAGTTTTAATCTGATTTTAATCTCTATCGAACATGCCCATAGTATATATTTAGGACATGGTTTTCAATAATGGGATGCTGATTTTCCTAAGGTGCCAAATAATGGAATCATTTCCATTTTGGGGTTTGAAAATTTCCCAGATTTAGGGTTTACAGATTTGAGGTGGGATAGGTATGTATGAGGTGGATGGAGAAGAATAAGATGAAAATTGATATTTAATTTTAATTATTTTGTTATAAAAAATGTAAATTTAAAATTATTGTCAATATTAATTATTTGGTCAACTAGCGGTCAAACTAACAGAAACCATCATTTTGAATTTCAACTGTGACATTTTGAAATGCTTTGTACCATGGGTGACACAAATGAAAAGTATGAACTAAATAAAATATTTGGTATTGCTGCTGCAATTATACCTTATTTCTTCGGTGAATTAAGCTATGTGTACACTCAATGGTGTATACAATGGTTTACAACTCTCTCACACGGAGGGGAGCCCACACATATTTTATTGTGTGCAGGCCCCCCTCCATGTGAGGGGGGTATAAATCGTTGTGTACACATAGCACAACCCTTCTTCAGTAAATGGGTTGTAAATTATTTATTCTGTAAATTTCATTATTAAACAAGGTAAATAATGATGATTTGCTTTGTCAAAATGCAACTTGCTCCCCACAAGTTTCACTTCTTGATGCTTTGCCCCTCTAATTGCTAAGGAAGTATTGATATGCCCTTGCAAAGTTTCAATGCATCAATCCCATTCTTTGTTTGGCTTCTCTAATCAACATTTTAAATTTGAAAAACAAGCATCCATTAGTTAGCTCGATCTTTTGCAAGAGGGAAGAACACTGAAATACTTAGCCTATTTGACAACTATTAATTTATTTCATGATTTGTTACAGTACTATTTTCAATCACATATTCACACAAAGAAAAATTATACACGTATATCAAAAAAATTCTTATTTTTTAATCATGTATTCTATTAAAAATCATCATTCAAAACTCTTTTGTCTCTAAATTTGTACGAGTCTCCTCAATCATGTCCATCGTAATTTTAAAAAAAATAAAAACTATAGAATTAAGCCATTGTTTGACTCGCTCTAAATTAGAATTCTGTATTTTTCATATTCATTTTTAATTACACATTCATACAATAAAATATTCAGTACGTAAATTAATTTTCTACCATACATTTTATGGAACTCACAAATTTTATCAATTTTCAATTGCTCATTTCATCAACTTCTATCAAAATCTACTAAAAATTTAATTTTGCATCTTTTCAATCCCATTTTCAAATTTTATTTTTTCATAAAATTCATTTTCGGTCATATGTTTGATGAAATCCATAATTTTTATCGATTTTAATAACTCATTTCATCGACTTTTATCAAATTTACCTGACAAAATTTTAGCCTAAACCATGGAATATTTTCTTAATTTTAAGAAATTTCAAGTAGTTCGGACTATAGAATCAAATCAGACAAAATCACGCAGTGTAAATTCATAAAATATGTGATTAAAATTAGTATTTGATTTTGATTTAAATTAAAATTCTAGGAGCATAATCTGATCTATGCACAAAAACCTTGTTATTTTCCATTTCTCCTTCTTGCCTGGACATGCGTGCCTTGAAGGACAAATCAACAGCTCAAAATTAATTACAGAGAAAAGAGAGAATTGCTATCATAGCGCGCCCAAATTAGTAATTAAATGTGACACGTGTTCCATGTTCAGGTTTTGGTTGTTTTGATTTGAAAAGCACACAAATCTTTTGCTTACAAACAAATTCAACATCCTTTCATCATCATTCTCCTTAAACCGACTAATCATTCAATTTGGTTTTACATTAAAAAACCATTATTTTTAAAATTTTAATAAAATTTAAGAAAACATATTATTGAAAAATTGATAAAAAAAATATATATATGTTTCATAAAATGTATAATTGCATGATTTTTTTTTATTTTTTATTTTTTAAAAAATATGGCCTAACAGGGACTAATTTATACTTGGCACATTGTCATCAAAGCATAAATTTTTACTAGAGTGATATTAGGAAAATTACATATTTTAACTTCAATTTATATTGTAGTAACAAGTTATAAATGAAGTTGTCACTTCCTTTTCCTTTTGTTATAGTTTCAATAATTGATTCTTAACAATCAAAATTGTCTAAATCTCTATTAAATTGTCACGTTATCCATATTTAGACTCCATTTGACAGTCATTATTTTTAAGTTTTTTTTATATACTCATTTTCAACTACACATTCTCACAATAAAAATATTTTACACGTAAATTCAAAAATTTTCTCTACTTTTTAACTATACATTCTCTTAAAAATCACGATATAAACTCTATTTTTTTTCAAATAATGGTTATGAAAAAGGGCCTACTTAAAATTTTAAAGTGACACATATTTATATGCCCCCAGTTTTGGGTCAAAATGCATTTTGGAACATTGTTTTCTTGAAAAATGTAGGATTAAAAATAAGAAATTTTTTTTTGAATTTTTCGTATAAAATTAATTTATAGAAGAATGTTCGGTTAAAAATGAGTTACGAAAAAAATGAGTTTATGAAAAAAGTCTATACCGAAGAGAGGCTCGATATTGTCTAATTTACAAAATATGTTAGATCACCATGGTATATAGAGATGCAATTAACAAAAATCGAAATTCGTACTTTTTCTTTTTTAAAAAAAAAACACTTCCTAGTTTAGCTGTTCATATTTTACTATCACACATGTTCTTAGTGAAAATCACCTCATGATTAGCTGTATATGCATCAAAAATGTCTCAATTAAATTATTTCTTGTTCATACTTAACTATCACATATGCTCTTAATGAAAATCATCTCATAATTATCCTCGTATACAGTAGTGGCAGATTCAGGGATAAAAAAATTTATACCAGTTTGATTCATAGAAATATAATTTTTTCTTTAATATGAAAAAACTAAGGGGCTGTTCTCTTTGTATTTCGATTTTGTGTTTTGAATTTTGAATTCATTTTTGGGTTTTGTATTTTGAGGTTGATGAAAATGTGTTCTTTTTGGCGTTTTGAAAAATTGTTTTGAAAACATCCAAAACGCGTTTTGAAAATTTTGGCTTGATTATAACTGAAAATACTTGTTTTGTGTTTTCTTGGTAAATTTTTAACTTATTTTCAAAAACGCAATTTGGAAAATAGGAAAGAGAACGTGTTTTCACTATTTTGAAAAATCAAAAATAGAAAATGACTTGAAAATGATAAAGAGAACAGATCCTAAATGGGTTTAAAGCCCAGACCTGCCCCTCGGCCTCCTCCCTTCGCCTCTAAACAATAATCGTGACTCCGTCACTGCTGATACGGATTAAAATGTTACAATTAAATGTTTTTCCTTGTTCGTTTTTTACTATCACGTGTGATCCTAGTGGAAAACACCTCACACAATTAGCATTATATGAATAAAAGTATCCCAATTGGCGTGGATTGAAAGGGATGAAGACATTTGGGGCCAACGATCATTTGTGCACACTGATATTACCCTCTACCATCCTACCGTTGGACTGCATTTTTCTCATAAATTTTCTTGTCTCAACCTGCCTTCGATTCTTCCTACGTTACATGTCATCTAATCATCTTTTCTTGTTATTATTAGTAATTTTTTACTCTTTATTATTCGATTATTATGTTACAAGCATATTCGAAATTTGAGTATACCTTCCTTTTTTTTTACGTGTCGCACTAGTGACGGTAGACTAAGTTCTTAACTAGAATTTATTACTTATTATACTGAGTTCCACCTCAACAATCCATGGTAGTCTTAGTTAAAGCATTCAATAAAATTTAGTTGGTTAAGATTTAACAACTTGATGCTACTATGAATTTTATAATTTGTCATGTTATGTTGAGTACGACATAGGGGCGGACCTGGAGGGGTGACCTGGGTGGGCACGTGCCCCCCAGATGTTAAATATATTTTTTTAAAATTTAAATATAAAACGAAAATTAAAAATCT